GGGGGGGGGCACCAGAGAGGAGAGTAAGACCATTGGGGACCCTGGAGGCAGGGGTGTGGGGGGCAGCAGAGTACACGGGGCAGGTGGTGGGTTTACCTGTGGTAGCAATACAGTCAAAGCCCACAAAGGCATAGAAGCAGGTTGCTGCCCCTGAGAGCACACCAGAGAATCCATAGGGCATGAATCCCCAGCCACTCGGCTTGTCATCTTTAGTTGCACTAAAATGAAAGAAAAAAACAACAGAGACACAATCAGAGATCACCGTGCACAGCTCCATTGGGTTTAGAGGAATAACACCCACTTCTTGTCAGAGCAGCAGGACCCAGTGGTCAGCCAGGGTCCTGACCACTCACTGCCCACCGGACACTGTGCTCAGGCTTGAAGGGCAACAAGGGGTGTCTGTTGAAGGGAGCCCAACGCCACAGTGGGACGCATTAAGCCTGTTTCAGAAAATCAATGCCAAGCCTAGTTGTCCAGTCCAGTCTGACTGTTGACGACCTTAAAGGACAGGCCAGACCTTCTCCTCAGGGTGTCTGACTTTACAGACCCAGACAACCTCATCTACCTCCTTAGAAGAGGTTGCTGGGTTTGAACCACCGACCTCTTGGTTAGCAGTCTAACGTTTAACCCGCCATGCCACCGGACCTCCTCCCTCCCTTTCCAGAAGTATCGCATAAATATTGACTTTGGAAATGAAGCAACCGGAATAATGAGAACTTCCACACATTGTGAAAAATATAATCAAGTGTCACTGAACAACCTGTGTAGATATTACTGCATGGGGTCCTAAAATGCTGTGTAAACTTTCACCAACAACACAGTGAAATATTCTTTAAAAAAAAGGAAAAAGTAACACACACACACACACACTATGCTGTCATTGCTAGGTGCCATCGAGTCACTTTCAGCTCCTAGTGACCCTAAGTGCCACAGAACGAAATGCTGCCCGTTCCTGCCCCGTCCTCACAATCGTTCTATGTTTGAATCCATTGTAGCAGCCACTGTGTCAAATCCATCTTGTTGAGGGTTTCCCTCTTTTTTGCTGACTCTCCACTTTACCAAGCATGATGTCCTTATACAAATTCATGTACACACACATAAATATCGAGACAGATATGCAAACTTTGATAGGAGAGTGGCGGGAACCGAGGGCCAGGAGGACAGGCAGGAAGACACCAGGACAGCGGCTGCCATGTCCCCCCTCTCTCTCTCTCCCGAGACCCAGAGAAAGAGTATGTGCTACTTGGCTGTGCACCGTCCACCTGCCCAGCAACAGGAGAGGGGAGGTGGCATCAAAATATTTGTGGAAAAATGGAATTAAAAGACAATGGGATTTTTCCTTTTTCCACAAACTCCTTGAAATTCCCTTGTGTTTACCAGAAACTCATATGTCAAAACAAGTATCTTTCCAGGGAAACTCAGGTTAGTGAAAAATAAAATGTTTTAGTCAACACAAGTGTTTCCTAAATCAGTCCTGGAGGCCAGGGGTTTGCCCAACTTCCCCACCCCCACAGTCCCGTTCCCGCCACATAGTTGGGGCTCAATCAAGTTTCCTGAATCAATAAGTGCAAAGTAAACCAAATACATGTTTGTTTGTGTTTTGTTGCTATTGTTTTTAAAGAAAAATGCCTCTGTAGCTATTTGGAACAGATACCAACTGAAGGTGAACCCACATGCATCAGAGTAGAACTGGGATTCACAGGGCTTTCAATGGCTGCTTTTGAGGAAGAAGATTGCTTTTCTTCCTCTGGGAGGGCTTGAACCTCCAACCTTTTGGTTATTGGTCAAGTGTCTGCACCATGCAGGGACTCACCGTAAATAAGGCCATGGGAACCACTGTGGAGCATGTTGTTGTTGTTATGTGCCGTGGAGTCAGTTCCGACTCTTAGTGACCCTAAACAGGGTTTCCAAGGCTGTAAATCTTTATGGGAGCAGAAAGCCTCATCTTTCTCCTGCAGAACAGCTGGTAGTTTTGAACTGCAGACCCTGAAGTTAGCAGCCCGATTCATAACCACTACGTTACCAGAGCTCCTTACTGTGAAGTTCTGCTCTAAGATTTGTGGAGAGAGAAAGAGAAGTGAGGGAGTCTGGGTAGTTACAACAAGGGAAGTGAGAAAGCAGGCATCTTACTGGCCTCCCCAAGAAGGTGATGGGGGACAATCAAAACACCACAAAGCAGAAGGGATGTGGTTTGGATGTCCTGGTGTGGTACTACAGGATCAGCACTGGACTGCTAACCACAAGGTTGGTGGTTCAAATCCACTATGAGTACGAACTGATTTGATGGCACTTAGAGGCGATGGATTGCAAAGTCGGTTTGAATCGCAAGGTCGGCGGTTCACGCTCACCAGCTGCTCCTCGGAAACCTTATACAGAGTTGCTATGGGTGGAAATCAACTCAGTGGCACTTAACAACAACAACAATAAACTTCTGGGGAAGTTAGCAACTGTGATGCCGCAGAGAGCTGACTGAAGGAGAGAGAAACAGTCTGGTTTCCAGCTCAGGGACGCCTCCCAGACAGACAGACACGACAAGACACACAGTCAAAAACAGGCCCACTCGAGTTGAGCTCTGGTACTCCAAGCCAGCTGAGATGGCTCAAAACACCCATCTGGAGCTGGGTGGGTGGGGAGAGGATAAACAACAGGAGCCTCCAGGTGCCTTGAACCAGCAGCAGGGAAGGCGGCTGGGGCTAGGGCCCTGGGGCGGGGGTTGAGGGCTGGGAGTGCGGAGGCTGCCCTTGTCTTGCATGCGGGTGACATACAAAATGCAACACTGTCAGCAGACACACACCGCCTCCTCATAAAATAGCCAAATGGAAGTTCGATTGGCAACCAGCACATAAGGCGCGTCCTTTATACTGAACGCCCCATCTATATGCCAACCCCAAAGACAGGCTGCGTCACTCCATCCCGAGTGAGGGGGCACAAGAAAATGGGTATAAAGAGGATTTCAGGACTGCCTGGGTCTTCGTTTCTGACAGAACGTAGGAACCCTGAAAGGCTGTATTTAATGTGTTGACCTTTAGCACTCCCTGGGGACCCGTGCCAGGGTGAACAGCCATGAGATGTTGCTGTTCAGTGTCGTCAAGTCGGTTCTGACTCATTGTGACCCTGGGGAGTTTCCAAGGAGCAGCTGGTGGGTTGAACCACTGACCTTGTGGTTAGCAGTCCAGTGCTTATCCCACTGTGCCACACCAGGACACCATTTGGGGTTATTGTTGATTGTTGTTAAGTGCCGCTGAGTCGGTTCTGACCCATACCGACCCTGTATAGGGTTTCCAAAGAGCAGCTGGTGAATTTGAACCATCGACCTTGCAGTTCAAACGACTCTGCAGTCTGATGCATTGGCCCACAGCGCTACACCAGGACTCCATTTGGGGTTATTAAGTTGTGGCACAGTGGGTTAAATGTTCGCTGCTGACAGAAAGGTCAACGGTTCAAATCCGCCAGCTGCTTCTCAGGAGAAAGATGAGGCTTACAGTCTTCGAAACCCTATAGGGCCGTTCCTCTCTGTCCAACAGGGTCCCTCTGAGTTGAAACCCACCGGACGGCAGTGAGTTTAATTAAAATAGAATCACTGACAAAATCAAATGACTTATTGTCCTCTAGGACAGTACCATCAAGTCAGTTCTGACCAATGATGACCCCCTCAGCTTTGGCTCAGGAATCTCAGGGTTAGTGACTGGGAGCTTGCTGCGTGTGACCTGAGCTCTCCTATAGCCGGGGGTTCCGGGATGGGTGGGAGGGCAGGCCTTCTACCAGAACATTCCCACATAAGCCTTGAGGGGCTGGGAAAGACGCCAAGTAGCGACAACGTGTCTCCTCAGGTAGTTTTGGTCAGATTCCAGGTGACTCTTAGGATCCTCAGGACTCCTGGTGTAGTGCTGTGGGTTAATGCGCTGGACCGCAGGGTTGGTGGTTCAAGCTCACTAGTCACTCCTCTGAAACCCTATGAGTCAGAACCAACCTCACAGCATTTAACAACAACTTAAGATTCTCAAATGGAGAATTGTTCGTTCAAACCGACCATTCACTCCTCAGAAACCCTATACAGGATTGCTATGGGTCAGAACCGACTTGAAGTCCTTTAACAATAACAACAGCAGTGTCAGGGAAGGAAAAGGGGGGCGGTTTACAGTCATGGAAATATTGCATTCATTAAGGGTAGGGTTGCATAGCTAATAAGTGTTGTTAATAATTTTAAACACCTGTAAAATGCCGAACTGATAAAACTGGTTGTGTGGAAGCTATATTCACAATGACAACCAAAAAATAAAAGTGGCTGCTGATTGCTGACTGAGGCTGCTTAGGTCTAACGCAACACACTTGGTTCCTTAGCTTGGAGATCTAGGGTCATGAAGGTTCTCCTTGTCTACCTCAGCTGCTTAAGAGCTTGCAAATGGTCATGTAAGGCACAATGCATGGTCTCTGTTCACTGCATGGTCCCTAGTCACTGCCTGGTCCTTATTCACTGCCTGCTGTCTATTCACTTCATGGTCTCTATTGGGCTGTGTGGTTCATATATTTAATTCAACTGCATGGTCTCTATTTGGTTGCTTGCTCCCTATCTGGTTGTTGTTGTTAAGTACCTTGGAGTCCATTCTGACTCACAGTGACCCTGCACAGGGTATCTGAGGCTATAAATCTTTACGGGAGCAGAAACCCTCATCTTTCTCCCACAGAACCACTGGTGGTTTTGAACTGTCAACCTTGAGGTAGCAGCCCAATTCATAACCACTATGCTACTAGAGCTCCTTCCCTATTTGGTTGCATGGTTTCTATTCCCCTGTATGGTCTCTATTTGCTGGAGCAAGATGAAGAAGGAGCGTCCTGACTAGGAGGAGGAGATGGAATGAGTGGCTAATTGCCTCTGTGGACATCTGCCTCCTTTGCCCTGAGACCAGAAGACCTAGATGGTGCCCTGCTATCATGACTGAACATTCTAATCAAAGATTCTACAGAAGAATGCTGATCAAGAGGAGGACAATACAGTACAGAATTTCAAATTCCCTTGGAATCCAGACTTTCTGGAGTCATGGAGGCTGGATGAACCGCTGAAACTACTGCCCTGAGATCATCTTTAAACCATAAACCAAAGTATCCCTTGAAGTTTTCTTTAAACCAAACAACCGTTTCACTACACAGTAAAAAAGATCAGCTTTAAGCTTTGGGCTCTTAAAATATCTGTCAATACGAGGGGGACTTCAAAAAGTTCATGGGAAATTGGAATAGAAGGATAATAGAATATTTCCACAGATTTTTTGAAACCCCTTCCTTCTATGGGAACAAACTGACCACAGCAGCTGGGAAGATAGGAGGCTTAGGGGTGAGTGAGTTGGTGTGAAAGGAGAAGAACAGCTCTGAAAAGGAGGCGAGAAGCACGGCACGACCAGAAGAATGTCACCGATGTCACTACATGGCACATGAAGAAATGGTTGGATCGATGCATGTTTTGCTGTGTCTATTTTCAACAACAACAAAAACGATTAAAACATTGAAAAAAACAAAGACAGTTAAACACCGCCACCAGGACGCCTTCAGACACGCACTGCCATCACGTTGATTCCGATTCACAATGGCCCTCTAGGATAGAGCAGAACTGGCCCTTAGGGTTTCCAAAGCTGTAACCTATATGGAAGCACACTGCCACGTCTTTCTTCTAAGGAGCAGCTGGTGGGCTCGAACTGCTAACCTTTCGGTTACCAGCCAAGAGCTTGCCCATTGTGCCACCAAGACGTGCCTTAAACATGCACCTTTCATATCTTCCAGCCATTCCACTCCAGGTATGTAACAGTCATGAGGAGAATATTGTGTTGTGGGCCACAGCTAAAGAGGACTTACGTGGGTGGATCAGCTATTTATTTTATCATTTAAAACCGACTTTAAAATGGGGGTTGGGTGGGGATAACGTGGTGTCACAGAAAGTTTCAGAGGCTGGTCACACAAAAGACTATGAGGGACCAGGGATCACTCCATGGGTCTGGCACAATGACCTGGAACTAGAGACAATATTGGAATTGGGACTAGGATTTTATTTTATATAACGCCTTTCTTTGTCATTGTCTGCCAACATCTGTCCGGCTCAAAGAAATAAAACATAAACACAACTGCTGAACAATAAAAATGAATAAACAAATAACAAAACACACTGGGTACAGTAGCTGAGCTCCAACACTGCAAATAACAATAAAAACAACAGTGTAACACACTAAAATTGTGTTTCCAAAGACTCACGTGACGTTCTAGGCAATTCCCTTCCCAAATAAACGTGTATGTGTTCAAAACCGGCTGTGATGGGGATGGAAGAAACCACTCACTTGTTCAGACAGAGGTGACCGGATGCGTTATCAAAGTCCTCCTCGGTCAGCTGCCAGTTTTTAATGGAGCCTTTTACAAATCCTGACACCATGATGAAGCCCAAGACCAGAACATTGATGCAGGTGAAGATTTTGTTGACCATGGCTGACTCTTTTACCCCAAAAGTTAAAAGTCCTGAAAGTACACAAGGAGAAAACGTTGAGAGTGTAAACTTCTTGGGATTGAGGATGGGGGTGGACGTGAAGTGCTGTTTGTGTGAGGTACCATCGCGTCAGTCTCGAGTCAGAGTGACCCCATGGTCAGCAGAAGGAAAGACTGCCTAATGCTGCGCCATCCTCACAACTGTTTCTATGCTTGAGCCCCTTGCTGCGGCCACTGTGTCCATCCATCTCGTTAGGGGTCTTCCTCTTTTTCGCTGACCCTCTGCTTTACCAAGCATGATGTCCTTCTCCAGAGACAAGGTTCCTTAAACGAATCCAGGTGGACTCAAACCACCGAAGACTTCTGTGAACCTCTGGAATGGAGCTGAATTAATTACCATTCTAAAGGCAGGAGCAAACTAACCCATCTGTAGGATATCGGACACAGATCTGAAATCCAGCCCCCTACGACCTGTCTAGGAGTCCTGCTGTGGCACTGTGGGTTAATGTGCCAAACTGCAAAGTCGGTTTGAACTACAAGGTCAGCAGTTCAAGCTCACCAGCTTCTCCTAGGAAACCCTATAGAGGGTTGCTATGGGTCAGAACTGACTTGATGGCACTCAACATCAACAACAACAACAGGACCTCTCTGGAATTGAGAACAGGACCACAGGGGCACCGCAGAATGCAGATATGAGACTGTCAGGCAACTGTCCTGGAAATGAAGTTCCTCACAAGGGTGAGAGACAGCCTCTACCTGTGTGAATGCCCGCACTTGTGCTCTCTCTCATGAAAACACATGTACGGGGTAAAGGCGGACAGGCCCCCTACCTCACGCCATACAGGAAAATGAACTCAGATGGAATGATGACCTAAATGTAAGGACCAGAGTCACGAAATCCCTTAAACAGGACACAGGGACACGACTTCAAATGACTTGAAAATGCAACCTTTGATACTACACGGGATGGGTGAACAAAAGGGAAACTGGATAAAATAACTTCCTTAAAAATTACTGCTTCTGTGCCTCAAAGGACTTTAACATAAAAAGTAAAGACAAACCTACAGAAGAGAAAAAAAAAAAAAAAAACTACTTGGAAGCCATATATCTAATTGTTGTTGTTAAGTGCCCCGGGGTCGATTCTGATTCATAGTGACCTTGTGTAGGGTTTCCAAGGAGCAGCTAGTGGGTTTGAACTGCCAATCTTATGGTTATTCTACAGCGCCACACCAGGACTCCATATATCTAATATAAGGGTTTGATGTTCAGAGTGCTAGTGTGGTGTTGTAGGCTAAACACTGGACTGCTAACCAACCACAAGGCTGGCGGTTCAGATCCACCAGCAACTCCTTGGAAACCGTATGCAGGATTGCTACAGGTTGGAATGCAACTCGACAGCACGTGACAACAACAGTTTTCAGAATATGTAACATATCCATCCACTCACTGCTGTCCAGTCGATTCAGACTCCAAGCAATCCTGTAGGACACAGCAGAACCGCCCATCTTGTGGTTAGCAGCCCAACACGTAACCACTGTACTAACAGACAATTAGTGCATGAAAAGCTGCCCAAGGTCTTTAGTTTCTAAACCAAAAAAAACACAACAAGACCCCACTGATAAGGAGCCAATTCTGATTCATAGAAACCCTATCATACAGGGTCTCTGAGACTGTAAATCTTTATGGGAGCAGACTGCTTCATCTTTCTCCTGAGGAATGGCTGGTGGATTTGAACCACTGACCCTGTGGTTAGCAGCCCGATGCCTACTGCACAGAGCCACCAGGGCTCTTTAGGGAAATTCAAATCAAACCCACAGTGAGGTACCTCATACACTCAGACGGCTATCCCTAGAAAATCAGAACCTAATAAGTCTTGGTGAGGATGTGGAGGAAGCTGCGGCCCTTGTGCATGGTGGGAAAGGATGTAAAATGGTGGGCGCAGCCACTATGAAAAAACCGTGCGGCAGCTCCTCAAAGTTCAGCACAGAACCACCGGGTGCCTCAGACCCTGCACTCTAGATGTATGTCCCTGAGGCTTGAAAGCTGGGATTCAGGCACATAGCTGTCCTCTTAAGGTTCACTACAGCCAAAAGGGGGAATCCAACTAAGTGTCCATCCACAGATGAATAGAGAAACACAACGTGGTCCACACAGACATGGGACTGATGTTCACCCAAAGAGGAATGTGGTTCGGATGCACGTCACAACACAGACGAACCCCAGAACCACGATGCTGAGTGAAGTCGGTCACCCATAGGCAACTTCTGCAAGATCCCACTGATGGGAAGCTCTTGACTGAGCCAAGGCATAGACCCAAGTTATTCGTGCTAGCAGGGGCAGGCGGGAAGACGAGGGGAGGTGCTCTGTGAGCGTCACTGCATTTCTGAGAAGTGGGATGGAAATCGTTTGGAAATGGAGGGTGGGCTGACATGGAAAATGTCTTATTACATGTATTTTATCACAACTGCTACCAAAACAAAAGTATATGATTGGGAAACTATAGTCTGGGGGAAGCCCTGGTGTGGCGCTGTGGATTAATGCACCAGACTGCAAAGCCATTTGAACTGCAAGGTTGGTAGTTCAGGCTCACCAGCTGCTCCTGGGAAACTCTACACAGGGTAGCAATGGGTTGGAACTGACTTGACGGCACTTCACAACAACAACATAGTCTGGGGAGGATTTAATTTTGTTCAGTTAGGTGAAAAGGAAATTATTCAGGCTCACAATGGGATGTTCATATTAGTAATGAGTCACTGACCTATAACTGTGGAGTCCTTGTACCCAGGGCATACAAAAAATGTCTGAGCTAAAGTAGCTCTTTGTAAACCTGTATTAAACTTAAAAAAAGAAAAAAAAAAAGTTCTAAGAACATAAGGAACCTCATGACAACATGACCTTTGATGCTAATACCACGCTTGTGGTCGTGTGTGAATCCCTTTACAATAAAAATACCATTGTGGAACTTCCAAGGTAAACTGTACTGCCTTGGGGCGGGGGCACAGAAAGGCCCCCGGGCAACACTTGACCACTATTTGTCAGCTGAGACTATTGTTCTGCCATGCAAGTCCTTCTTACATTGTAAAATTAAAATTGCTATGCAGAGAGATGACATTCTAGCATCTGAGACTCAGGAATCAGGAGCGAATACAAAGCGTGTGGCTCATGACCTCCAAGAACCACGGCGTCCTTTGCCGTGAGATCAGAAGAGCTGGGTGGTGTCCACTACTGAACCCTAATCAAAAGATGGGAACCATGTCAAACGGAATTAGAAACTTTCCGGACTTTCTGGAGCCATGAAGGTTGGGTGAATCCCTGAAACAACTGCCCTGAGATGATGTTTAAACTTTAAACCAAAACGATCCCCGGCTGCATTCTTCTTAAAAGCATGCAGCAGTTCAGTTTAGTCCTGGTGTGGCGCTGTAGGATAAACACTGGACTGCTAACCACAGGGTAGGCGATTGAAACCTACAAGCTGCTTCTTGGAAAGAAACCCTTTGCTGTGAGTTGGAACAGACTTGATGGTACTTAATGGTTCAAGTTTAAAAATCAAAACAAAGAACAAATAAAAGGTGTGCCTTAAGGATTTTTAAGCTCTTTTAAGGACTATATGCGCTGGACTGCAAAGTCAGTTTGAACTGCAAGGTCGGCAGTTCAAGCTCATCAGCCATTCCTTGGAAACCCTATACAGAGTCACTATGGGTCGGAACCGACTCAACAACACTTAACAACAACTACATGTCACTAAAGTGACAAGAGCAACTTGAAAGGGCAGGTAGGAAGCTTAGAGGCAGTGTTGTTGTTGTTGTTAAGTGCTGTGGAGTCGGTTCCAACTCATAGTGACCCTGCACAGGGTTTCCGAGGCTGTAAATCTTTACGGGAGGAGAAAGCCTCATCTTTCTGCCGTGGAACAGCCGGTAGTTTCGAACTGCCGACCTTAAGGTTAGCAGCCCGACGTAAGCACTACGCTTATGTGAATTCGGGAATGGAGGGTGAAAATGGCTGCAGATCTTGAAGACTGTCATCAATGTCATGGGCTGTACATACAGGGACGGTAGAAACACTGTGTGTTCTGCTGTGTGTATGTGCAACAACAACGATCAAATAAACCTTAATTGCAAAATGCAGATGTTAGAAGGGAACTGACCAGTAGATTACCAGGCGAACGCCTCATACTCTTCTCCAATGTCATTTGTCCTCCTCACCCCCATTTCTCTTGTTGTTGTTAAGCGCCATGGAGACAGTTCCAACTCCTAGCGACCCTATGTAGGGTTTCCGAGGGTTTGAACTGCCGACCTTGTGGTTCGCAGTCCAGTGCTGATCCTACAGTGCCATACCAGGAGTTTCTACTCTGTTTTAACAAGGAAAACCTCACAAGTGCAGTTTTGTGAACGGGTGGGCGATCCTGCCACTGGACTACAAATACTGAGAGGTTTATTTCACTCACGTGGTGTGTAAAACAAGGTGCGTTGTTTCAAAAACTCATCCGAGATTTTCTAACCTCAAATGAGAATGTGTCTGTAATTCAGCTCAGTGTTCTAGTATCGAATGTCACAATGTCACATGGAGAACACCTTCTATCTTAGTGGCCGAGACACATACATTGTGGTTGCTGTTGTTAGGGACTGTCAAGTCGGTTCAAACTCACAGTGACCTTGTACTGGGTTTCCGAGGAGTGGCTGGTGGATCTGAACCACTGACCTTGTGTTTAGCAGTCCAGTGCTTATCTTACAGTGCCACACCAGGAGTGCGTATTATTAACACTCATCATCTTAAAGGGGTTCACAGGTCAATCCTATGAGAACCAATAATAAAAGCCTTTCAGCCAAGGTTAAGTAAAACAGAATTGGCATTTGTTACAAATACAAGAAAGAACAGGAAGAGGCATATGAACCTTAAAAGGAGCCTGTGGCAGGGCCCGGCCAATTACTCCCACCTGCTTGGTGATCATGGTGCTTTACCTGTTAGGATGAGAATGATAACCACAGCAAATATGTCGGGGTTTTCGGCCAGCACCCCAGGAGCGTTCAGGGCCATGTGTTTCCGAGAGAAATCCCCAATGGGTCTGCCTAACAGCTCGTCAAACGTTGCACTCCAGGCCCGGGCCACACTCGACGTACCTGTTACAAAGCAAAAACAGGCGAAGACAGGAATGAATTTGTACGACGTGTCAGCAAACTCGATGCTGATCGCATCCACGCAGAGACCCCCACCCTGAACCAGGAGCCCGCTGCTGTTCAGACAATTCCCACTCATCACACCCCCACTGGGGCTGAGCAGAACTGTCTTGTGGGGTTTGAGGTTGTGAAACTTTACGGAAGCAGACAGCTGCCTCTTTCTCCCGCAGACAGGCTGGTGCATTGTTGTTGTTGTTGTTATGTGCCATGGAGTTGGTTCTGACCCATAGCGACCCTGTACAGGGTTTCCGAGGCTGTAAATCTTTACGGGAGCAGAAAGCCTCATCTTTCTCCTGCGGAGCAGCTGGTAGTT